CTGGCAATGCTCCTGCCAATGCAGCCCAGGATTGCATTCACCTTCATGCCCTGCTCTGCACTGCCACCGTCCTGTGAACCCAGCTCTGGGAGCTTTTGTCTGGACCTTGTGGTCCATCCTGTGCTCGAGCCCAATCTGCAGCCTGAAGCCGGGGATGTGGGGACGTGTTCAGGGATGACGGGGGTATCGGCATGGCGGCAGGCTCTGGGGACTGTAGTGTAGTCGCAGCACCGGTTTTTTAGGTGTAAACCCTTCTGTACCTCTGTTCAATGCTGTTCTTCCTAATATGTGCTTGGGTCTCAGCCTCATTTGTGAAAGGGGATAACACCTCATTTCTCCCACCTCTGGTGTCTCTTTTCTCTTTAGACTGCAGTGTCTTAGCAAGAAGGCACTGTCTCTCATTTTGTGTATGTGCTTGCATGGCTCTCACAGCTGGAGGCTAATAACTTGTATTATAATGCAAAGAATGACTCATTGATATTAAACATAGCACAGTGGGGAGTGGGGCTGAGTGCTGCTCATTTGGTGTGCTGGCAGTTCCCCCCACTTCCTAAGATAAGGAGAGAAGTTGTTCAAATCTCTCCCTTTGCATATTCTTGTTGCACTCTTGAAAACCAAGCCTCCCCCTTGTACAAAAAGGCAGACAAAGCCATTCACTGCAGTTCTGGTAGTTTATTACCCCAGGAATGTGACAGGGCTGGTGGGCACTGCTGCCATGGGAGATGCTAAGTCACGTCGGGGGACAGTGTGGCTGATGGAGCTGCAGCTCTTTCGGGCTCTGCAAATCATTTTTCATTGCTTCTTGCCCTAAAAGTAAGAGAAAAGCAAGTCACTTCAAGGGTCCGTGCACACAGCGCGGAGGCCAGCTGACAAAAATAGCTGGCATGGTTTGCACCGAAACCCTTCCAAGCCCGGCAGAGACAAATTCAGCACCACACAAAGCAGGCTCGCCTCCTCTGCCCTCAGCGGTCTAGAGGGGTTTCAAGACACTCGAGCTTTCGAGACATCAGAGATCGGCTGTGGGATCTGGTGCCCTCAACACCCCCAAGCCGCTCTTTGCCTTTTGAGGTCTCCGAATGGGGACACGCCGAAACACCCGTCATCCCGGACCCGTTGCATTTCTCTGCCAGGTCGTGGGCGGCTCTGCAAACACCCCGGTATTGGTGATGGACCTGCACGTGGTTGGTTACTGTGGGCTCAGATCTCCAGGGATCACTACCCAGTGTGTACGCCCGGGATCCCCGGAGTAACGAGGACAGGGTGTGGGGCTGGCTGTTCTCACCTGGAATAAACCCCTGCCTGGGACCTGGCCTTTCCAGCTCCCTCCCCGTTGCTTGCTTTATTGGGGAGGTGACGGGCGTCATCAGCAAAGCTCGAGTTGTTCCCTTTGCTGCTAGAATCGGGCTGAGCCGGCGACTAAAATGTGTGTATTGCGAGCGTCAGCTCAGAAATTGCACCTTGCGGCAATGGCCACCCCGTCCCGCTGAGCTGGGGCAGCACGAGGCTGGGTGCTGGTCACCACCCGCCAGACAAGGGAAATCCCGAATGAAAGGGCTTGGGCTTGTGGGGAAGAAACCAAACCCAGAGGTGACATTACATCAATGAGTTGGTTTTCCAGATTCTATATCCCTATTTCTAATCCCCCAAAAACGTCCTTGGCGCAATGCTTGAGCCCAACAAAAATATGCTTCAGAGCTGCGATAGCTTCCTCTCTGGAGACAGCACCAGCAGCTTCTAACACAGGACAAAGAGAGAGGAGAGAGTCAGGTCTGAAGGCTGCCTGTCGGCCAAAAGCTGAGATAAGCCAAGGCCTGCCGCACAACACGACTATCACACCAGGCTGTCAGCTCTGTTTCTGGTGGTTTGATTAGCTAAAGTTTAAATTCATCCTATCTATTGTGTCGTCTCTGTAAAGGGAGAAGCCAGCAAAGACATGACGTCTCACTTCATGGACGATACTTTTCTGTCTGTCTGATTTCTGTTTGCAGCTGTTTTGCCCCTCCGCGGAGGAGAGGAAAGCGTGCGCAGCCGCTCTCCCAACTCACAGCGGGTCTAGGAGAAGGTTTCACAATGAATCTCCGTGTCCTGCACGCACCGCCACGGAGCCCCTTTTGACCTGCTGGGGTTCAGGAACAACTCTTTTCTCCCAGGTTTTGTTGTTGTTGCCGGTCTTTCTATGGCATTTAATACCGTTCAGTTCAGGTTCATGCTTTAGCAGGCGATGACCCCTTCCATTAAAGAACAGGTCAGTAGCCAGACGATAAGAAAGAACATATTTCAGGTTGAACAAAGCATTTCAAGTTGATCCAAGATAATGTGTTTTCAGTCCTGTCACTCAAAGAAGGGAAAAAAAATCTGTTTTGACTTGAGTCAAATCGAGTGCATTTTTCCCCGATTACATAGTTTGACTATTAAATTGGAAAATCTTTTATTCATCCCGGTCCATCCCAACACCGCATCCTCTCTGGCACCAACAAAACCATCCCTCCGTGACTTGGTAAAAGCAGCATCATCAGCACAAGAAGAAAGCAACTCCTCGGTTTAGATGGCTTTGAGCAGGAGCCAAAGCAGCCAACCTGGTGGAGACCATTCAAGAAGGCTTGCTGCCATCCCATCTGTTAGCAAATCATTTTGGTTTTTGCTTCAGCTAGCACGCCGGAGCTGTGCATTGGACCATTTGGGGGTTGCAGTGTTCAATTTATTTTAGTGGAAAGCAGTAGTGATGTCGAGGAGGGGAGAGGAGGGGAGGGATGGAGGGGTCCCCCAGGCTAGAGAAGCCAGCCCAGACTCGAATTAGGCTGCGTCTCGGCGCAGAGTCCTCTCCTGGTGCTGACAGGCCCGGCCTCGGGCCTGATTTCTGCCGGGCTGTCCAAAGTGCGGTTATTTGAATTTTCCATCGTGCCGGCGGGAAACCAGCCCCGGTTGTCTCTGCACAGGCAACTTGACGGACAGCGCAGGGGCGCAAACACTGCTTAATTGATGTGGTTTTTAAAAATACAAAGCTTGTTATAGCTGCCGAGAGGCGGGTGAAATCCTGCCGCATCTCCGCCATCACAGGATCTCTTGCCTTCCCCACGGCTGCATCCCCAGGGAGCTTGGCAGCTGTTCTTCCTCCTCCATAATTTCTTTTAGTCAAACACTATTGAGAAGCCTGGGAGTCGTTTCAGTCGCCAGGCGGTTTCACCAAGCGCTGCGTGGATGTGAGCACAGGGATGGGGGACGTCACGTCAGTTCTGAGACTTGACTGTTGTGACAGCTCCGCGTCTTTGATACAGATTCATGCTGAAGAGCAGGCTTCAGAAACCGCATCCACACGTGAGACCAGCGCCGTGCATGTGGCTTCAGGGAAACCTGATGGATTTGACCAGTGGAAGTGTGCGACGGCCCTGGGAGCTGGGGTCAGAGGGCGCCTTTGGGTGCAAAGGTCGCCTGCCAAAGAAGCAGGAACGTGCCGGTGGTCTCAGAAAAGGCCCGGCTCTCTTTCATGGCTCGCTGTTGCCAACCCCAGATGCAGGGCCTGCCTTTAACCAATTTCTCCTCCCGGGTTGGGCTGCTCTCAGTGGGGGCAGGTGACAGGACAAGGAGCAATGGGCTCCAGCTGCAGCAAGGGAGGCTTAGGTTAGATATTAGGAAAAATATTCTTGCTAGGAGGGTGGTGCAGCACTGCGACAGGCTCCCCAGAGAGGTGGTGCAGTCTCCATCCCTGGAGGTGTTTAAGACCCGGGTAGACAAAGCCCTGGTTGGGATGATGCAGTCGGGGCTGGTCCTGCTTGGAGCAGGGGTCAGACTAGATGTGACCCCTGAGGTCCCTTCAACCCTCAGTTTTGACTCTGTCGTTGCTCAGTGAGCCGGGGGCCGCTGGCAATGCTGAATGGCGCAGGCTGTTCCCGATAGGATGAGCTAGTGCAGGTTGTGCCAGGGGATGGGACAGCCCTTTTCTGACCCCTTTCAGAGGTCCTCTCTGTGGTCATGAACGTTTGTCTGTGCCGAGGGGACTCTGCACATACCCGGAGGAGTCAGGTAGATCCCGTGGGAACGAAAAGCAGACAAGTAGTGCGCGTGTTTGCCGGTGCCTAAAGGGAAGCCAGCGCCCTGGGGCGAAGGCATGGGAAGGAGCAGGAGCCACAGAAGGATGCCCTGGGGGCAGCTGGGACTCCCCAAGGGGCAGTGAGCGTCCAAGGATCACAGGGTTTTTAATTCCCTGCTGTGGGAGGCTGCAGCCTGTGGCAGCCAAATGCAAAGTTGTGTGCAGGCACGAAGATTACAGGCCACGTGTACAGCACGGGAGGGGTGGCTCTCTCCTGGGGGCATCTCCGTGAGCCCCTTGACCAATAGTGGGGTGATGAATATGGGGCTGGGTGCACCTTGTGCAGCCCGGCCAGCCACATGCAAGGGTCAGCTTTGCCCAGCGAGCTCCTGGCTGCAGCTGCTCAGCCCCTGCTCCTTTACTGGGAAGCGGCGAGCCGTGTCGGCCCACGGCGCCAAAGGCAGGATGGTGTCTACTCACGCTGGCGTGGACCTGGCAGGGGTCTCCTGGGCATCAACTCCAGGCCCTGCTACTGCAGGCGAGCACATCAGAGCATCTGCTCGTAAACTGGCCATGCTCCGTCTTGAAGTCATTCAGGTTTGCCCCCCTACTCCCACAGCAAGGCTCTGCCAGCAGCTGTCCCCCTCTGATAGTTAGCAACCCTCCTCTAGTTTCCAGCCTCCATATATCCCCGCTTCTTGTGCCACTGTCCTTTGGATCTAGCGTGCTCTGGCCCGGTAGGGAACCGGCCCTGGGGAGCCCGGGACGAGTGAGCAAAGGGTGCCAATGTGAGACTTTTGAGACACTTTTGAGATGGGGCCATCTCGCAGTCAGTCACATAGTCATATTCATATGCAATGCTGGAAATGGTATTAGTGTTTTTCCCTAAGCCAGGGCAAATTAAAGTGCAGTCGGAGTACTTCTCCCAACAAGCCCTTTGATGTCTTGGAATAAAGACAACACAATTGTTGGTCGCAGTTGCATTGATTTATTGAAGGAATGAAAGTATCTGCTTTGGTACCAAGAGAGCTCGTGTTGGGTCCATTCGCAGAGAAGGTCTTCAGCGAGACTGAGGGAAGACCTCGCTAGGATTTTGCAGATCAGTTTTTACCATTTTCAGTCTAAAAGGAAGAGAGAGAGACCTCACAGTCTTGCTCACAGCGTGGAGTCCTGCCAAGAGACGTTTCTTTCGGTATCTCGCAAGAACGGTCCAAGTCCCCCGTGTGCGTGGGGCACTAGGCCAACCACTAGCCAGGGTATGAGCTATAGGCCCAAGAGTAGGGAGAGCCAGAGTTAAGGGGCTGTTGTGGCTTGGTGGGATAAGTATTGCCTTCTCTAGCCCTCGTTGCTGCTGCTCTGGGAAGATCAGGGCCCTTGGTGTTGTGCTACAATGGGTCTCTGTCGTCAGCTAAATGTCACCGTGCAAGTATTGACTCAGGAACTGCCCCTTGCAGCAGTTTGGATGTAGGGAGGAGGCTGTGGGATGAGGATAGATGTTGGCAGCTTGCAGACATAGCACAGACCAAAGGGTTGCAGGACCCCAGATGTGAGCCTTACCTTTATTATGTCGTTCTCAATGTCGCGGAGGGAGGTTGCCAGCCCTGCGTGTAAATCAGACTTGCAGCGCTTGATGCTCATCACAACATCCTGCAGGCTCGTGATAAAGTCCTCTCTCAAGCTGGCGCCGGCAGTATCTAGGATGAAAGTAGAAATGTGCCTGTGTCAGTCTGGAAGGGAAACCCAGATAGAAACAGCCCACTGCGTTCAAAAGGCCATGCTCACTTTGCACGCCCCTGGCTTTGCCGTCCGGTGTAAGACGGAGAAACATTGCCTAGAAAACAATGCAGTAATGTGAAGCCGTGGATGATTCTCCCCTCCCTGCCTGAGATTTCCCCAAGCCCCTGTGAGCCGCCCTAGCTCTACTCTTTCCTTAAAGCCATTAGGGATTTTCCCAGTTCTTCCCATCCTTGTGCTACGAGGCGGGACATGAGGATGGAAGGGAATGGTTCCCTCGTCTAAGGGAAGTGGATGGACTCTGCACTGGAGGTCTCCTTTTGGGGCTGAATTCAGATTTGGACGACATGCAAACCTGGAGTCGACTGCAGATGACCCGGGGCTGAGACTCTGCTACACGTGCAGGTCATTCTTATGCCATGTCCAAGCCCTTGGTCACACATTATGTTAATATATCCTAGATCTCCAAGATCATTTGCACGCTGGTGAAGAGCTCGCTTACCAGAGAAACACCAGATGGCAAGGGTGAGCAGCAGAAGGGCCCCAGATGCCTTCATGGTTGAGTTTGCTGAGGTGCTGGTTGCAGCTCTGCCCAGCTCTGCAGTGTAAATCCTCGTCCAGAAATGCCAAAGTTATATATGCTCCATATCCCCTGCCTCGTTGCACTTTCATTTATTGCAGGGAAGCATTTGCCAAGACAAGCAGCTGAGAGGCAGGTACACACGTTAAGTCAAGTACACAGCATGGGAACAGGGGAGACTCACAAATAAGCAGCATTTCTGTTTGCTATCCCCACCAAGATCCCTGCATTGCTTGTGGCTGAGCAAGGGACCTTGTTTGCAGACCTGAGTGTGTGTTGTGTGTGGAAAACAAGGCTGTGCACGGCAGGGTAGAGGCACCGACGAATTCCACGTTACTTCAAGGCTGTTTCTGTCCCGGGTGAGTTTGTGCCAGGCGGTGTAGTGTTGACCCCCAGGTTTGGACTGGACCCCGGGAGCTGCCAGAAGCTAAGCAGAGCTTGCCTGGAATAACCCAGGATGCTACCGACAGTGGTGGTGCGGCTCCCCGCGACCCTCGCACAGTGTCGCAGCGTAAAGACGTGGCACCACGGTGGTGATCACCTGTGGTCATGAGAAAGCAGCTTCCCTGTCACGGGACCCCTTCGCCCTTTGGGGAGTGCAAGCACGACGACCTGCAGTGCTGCAACGGCTCTCCGGCTCCGTGTGCAAGTCCAGCAGCAATAGGACTGACCGCAGAAAGGTGCACTTTTCCCCAAGTGTTGAGTTGTCAGAGATGCTTTTAACCTTCCAAAAAGCACCTTCCGGTCTGTGAGATGCTGTTTCAGTTCATGTCCAACCCGACTGGACGTTGCTTTGCACGGTTCCAAGGTCGCCACTATCTGCCCCAAAAGGAGCTGCCTTTCGGAGGCAGGGTCCGTGGAGCCCTGTGAAATTTTCTGGACAGTTTGCAGTGCTTGGATGAACGGTGGCAGATAATTAGTAGCAATGAAAACTGGGCCCTTGTGAGGTGACAGCAAACTGCAGTCAAGTCGCTGAGGCTTCTTCTCCACCATCACAACCAACTTGTTCCCCAGTCCCCCAGGCAGCGCTGCTTCCGCGCCTGGCTGCAAAGGGCTCCCGAAGCCCATCGCAGCGAAAGGGAGCGTGGAGGGCATTTTCCCCACGTCCCTCGGAAAGCACCTGATGTGTCTCTGACATTCAGAGTATCCCCAAGGCCCATAATTACAGTTCTGGAGGGTGAAGGGGCTTTGTCCTCAGAAAAGACCAAGTTGCATCAAGCAGTACAAAAAGCTAAGCCGGCACCTCGTGTCCTTATCCCCCCCAAGGAAATCCCCCAAGAGCCTGCCTGGACCCAGGCGCTTTCTTGAAGAAATGGGGAGCAGAGAAGTGGGGCACAAATCCCTGCAAAATGGGGAAACCAAAACCGACCCCCGCAACCCTGTGACTGTTGTTAAATGTTCGTGGTCTTTACCCACTCGTGGTTTCTTTGGAAAGCTCCCAAGGCGCTGGGGCCTTGCCAAGCGCGCGGGGCTCTCCACGTCATTTCTCTGGGGTTTGAGACAGCAGAGTCCTGCCAAAGACAAACTACGGTGTTGCCAGGAGCACACAACGTACCAGCCAAAGGCTGCACCTCCCTCCAGCTGTCTGGGAGACCTGCAGATCAGATACCTTCCACACCAGCCTAAAGAGGGGAAGAGATGGGAACAAATGGGTTTAAATGACCCCGGCAGTCAGCACGGACCACGCCGCCCCCGTGCAGGCATGTGGAAGGGATCAGAGGTCAAAAAACAACGCTGAAGACACAGGTTTCACCCCTCTGGTCCCCCGGCTGTCTGCCTGATCTGGGGCTATAACTTCCCACCCCCGTGGGTCCTACGTCTCATAATATCTCCTGCTTCAGAGGCCTTCTGTGTGTGAAGCCATGTAAGCGCTAGGCTGAACGAGCAGCTCCTGGCGTGAGATGGGCTTGTGGCGGCAAAGCCCCGGACCGGTGAGCCCGTCCAGCAGCAAATGGGTCGAGAAACCGGACCCCGTGAACCGTTGCTGGGGGTTGTGCGAGGAAGGAGGCTGCAATGGTTCAGACACAGCACGAGCAGGCTGGACACCCTTGCCAACGCCATCATGCCGGGCGCAGGGG